TCTATTCTATTCTATTCTATTCTATTCTATTCTATTCTATTCTATTCACTGCCTCTATTCAAAATGCAATATGTTTGGTAGGAACTTTTTCCTCAGTCCTTTGAGCTCTGCTCCTTTGGATGATGCCCACAGGCATTTCAGCCTTTCCACAAGATCTCCTTAAAAAAATGTGAGGTGGGACTGATACCTTTTTCACTTGATTCCAGCAGGAGTCTGCTGGGACTGTGTCATGACTGATAAAGGCTTGGACATTGACAGTTGCTGGGACATCCATAATATGAAATCCTTTTCCCCTTGATTACCTTTTCTTTGTCCCTGCAGGCCTGGGCAGAACTGAGGAGCCACAACAGCCTGCAGGAGAGGGCTCTGTGCCCTGGCTGTGGGACTGTAACAGGTTCTATTCCCTTTCCACAGACTGACCACCTGCTTGTGTCTCAGAAAAACCTCTCAGGCACATTGAGAGAGCACGGAGAGGCATTTCAGAGAGAGCAAAGATTGTTCCTGTGTTCAGAGGTTTTATGCTTGGGTGCAGCAGACAAAGCTCATTGCTAGCACAGCACAGGTAACACATTGTGACCCATCAGCCACGCAGGCTCCAACATAGGCATTTTGGGGTCTGCTGCTGGGCTGCCAGAGGTGCAGCTCCAGCAATAAGAAGCAGATGCAGGCATGAAAGCACAAGCAGAAGAAGGAAGCTGGGAGCAGCCCAGAGCACAGTGACAGTGCTGGGCACCACCAGCATCACAGCTGAGCTATAGAGCTGGGAAACCCCACCTGCTGCAGGGCAGAGCCCCTCAGTTCAGCCCTCCCTGCTGCTCCCAGGAGACACAAAGCAGAGCAGTGCCTATCCGGGGTAATTTTACATCACGTTTGTCCATATGCGTGCTTATCTGAAACCTGAGGATTTTGTGCTGCTTGTGAGCTGCGATAGTATGCCACTGTGGTGACTCACATGAAAGTCACTGCAGTAAAAATGAGAGCAAGGTCCTGAATGCAACTCTTCTATTTGGTTATCTCTCTATCACGTGCACCCACATCCGTACCAACACTTGCACAGCTTGTCCCAGGGCTCTGGTGGGGCCAGATAACCCAGGGTCAGGTTTGGGCCACCTTTTCTCACACTGAAGGGCTCTGTGCTGTCAATAAACAAACCAGCTGCTTGTGGACCATCTCAAGTTTGCTGTAGGACTTTCCTTCCATGACAAAATCCCTGGCTTTCCTGAGCAGCATGGCATGACTGTAGTGTGCCCTGGGCCTTCTCCAGTGTCAGCCTGGGCTGGGATGTGGCACGGGGCTGCCTTGATCCTGCTGCCTTGTGACCCTGAAACTGGCCAAGTGACAGGGTGAGGGACGGACACCCAGAGCCTGGGCTAACTTGGTCCACTTATGGATAAAAGGCCATTTATGGGCTAAATCACAATGTATGAGTTTGAACAGAGCTGTTTTCCCCTTCTCTTCCTGGAACTGGAACCCTAGCACAGAAGGTGGCACGGCACAAGGTGGAGGAAAAGGGCTTTAAAAATAAAACAACACTCACCTTCCCTGCTCCACGAGCATAAATTAGGCTTTGGCCACTTGCCTTGGATAACTCCCCCAGCACTGGGAACAATCTGTGCATGCACTGCCTCTCTAATGGCCATTCTTTCTCCTGCACAGCTCCCAGCACTGCTGTACCACTATAGCCACCCCCCTCCCTGCTTGCCACCTCCTTCCTGCTGAAGGATGAGGAGAAAACACTGACACAGGAGGAAAGGGGCAGCAGTCAGGCTGCCTGCACTGATATTTAGGTCCTGCTCTCGCAGCAGTTCCCAACTCCATCTCTGCTTCTGCACTCCCTTTCCAGCTTCTCCCTCCTTTACCACATGGAATTCAGCTTCCTGTTTTCTGCCCAAGTTTGCTGTTTGAGTCATTTTCCCTCCCAGGGACCATTTCTCATCTCCATTTGTTTCTTCATCACTATTTTACACTCTCTCTGGGCTACCTTTCATTTTGCTTCTGTTCTTTGGCTGCCTCCATCCTCATGAAAATCCTTCTAGTTTACTTCACTAACTTCTAAGTATTTATGAATCTGTTGGCAGGGAGATGAAAACCTCCTTACAGACACAGGCCATCAGTAAGCTGCAGTTGTTCAAACCTGTGCTGAAAGGTTGGCTTTTCCAAAGAATTTTATCACTATTTTTCATCTCCCAATATGAAAAATTGAAATTCTCAGGCAGAGAACAAAAAGATCTCCAGATCACTGTCATTGTACATCCTTCCCACCCAGCAGCTCTGTACCAAACTCTTGAGCCCAGAAAGAGCCCAGACTCACATGGAGGCTCAGTATCACTATGGTATCTTGGTCACAACGCGATGTTACCGTCACCTACAAACAAGGCTGATAAGGATTTATCTCAGCATCATTCTCACACACAACTAACCAACCACTGAGCAGATAGTTTCCTGCTGGAGCACCAGAAGCAGCAGAGCTTTGCAGACTTGGTGGGACACCAGTGGAGTGCCATGGGCAGGGCTGGCAGCTGGTACCGCAGCAGGACAACCTGGGTAAGGATGGTGACAACACACTCCCATATGCTGCTGCTCATTTCCTCCATCCCATTACCAGCTGCACAGTCATATCAGGTACCCAAGATCGCTGCTGCAATGTGGCAGCATGTGGCAATCTTCTCATGCATTTATCAGAAGGTGAAGTGTCCCTCACTGAGCAGTGTGATTCTCGGGTCAGACCTCAAGAATATTACCTTTTCTCAGGAAAAAAAGCTGCCATTCATTTCCATAAGCCCACTAAAACACAGGGTCCAGCAGTGGGGACCCTGCAGCCCCATGGATATTGTGTACACATTTTTTGAAGGCTTCTTTGAGACTGCCCAGACTAACTGCAGTCCATGGGACCTTCATCCAACGCATCCATCTTGGTGGGCACCTTTTGCTCGGATGCCTGGCTGAGGCAGGAAGACCAGCATGGATTTGGGAGAGATAAGAAATGCTCTCAGCAGCATCAGTTTGGCTTGAGCTGATGGTTGCAAAATGTCTGAATCTCAAGCTGAGGGCCTTCCCCACCCAAGGATGAACAAACATTTCTTTCATCCAGAAAGAGAAAAGATTAAGAAGGGATTTTTCACACTCACATACACTTAAGAGGAAAAAAATATTTACATGAGAGAAAAAGGACTTGGCAGGGGTTTTGCTGAGGCCCTGTTGCTGTTTATGTGTTTCTCAGGATGGGGTTGATGCTGTGGAGCTCAGTGGTGGAGCCTAAGCCCCCCCAGCTGCCCAGCAGGGCATGAGTGGGGCTGCGGGCAGTGCAGGCTGCAAGGAAGTCATGTGGCAAGAGCACAGGTTGCTCTGGTAGCCACTGCCATGGTTTCCTAATGCCATTCCTTTGGCATCGCAACGGACCAAAGCCAGGCAGGGCTGTGGGAGCCTCAGTGCAGCCCTGAAGTGGGTACTGGGCTCTTGGCTCTGGGCACCTCTAAGTACCAAGGACAAGGAGGGACATAGGGAGAGATGTTCTCTGGTCTGAAGGTCCTGTTAGAAAGGAACAGTGGATGGCAGATGGGGTTCCCACCTCTCCAGGATCCCTGCAGTCAGCAATGGCACCCGTTCCTAGCTGGGACCCTCCAGCCCTTGAAAGCACAAAGTTACAAAATCATAAATTACTGTAATTTGTGCATCCACTGTATTTTGTAAGAGCTCGGTGTGGTCCCTTCCCATCCAAGCTGCACAGTGAGACCTGCTGCTGTTTTGGAGAGGAGAAGCCTTGAAACACACAGAACACACATCGGCCTTTGCTGCCAATGCTTTCACTGTGGTTTGAGTGGCATAAGGAATGCAAATTGCGTGTCACTGCACACGCTGGGCTGGGATCTTGTTTAACATGAGCCATGCTCTTCCTTTACCCCTCCTAAAGCAGTAAGAGCAGCAGCACAACAGGGATGCACACCTGGTAACAGAAGAGGCTGAGATATTTGTCCAAAGACCCCCCTGAAGATTTTCCAGCCCTGAAGGGAGATAAAGCAACTTGAGACAAACAGAAAAGATCCATCACACTGTGCTGCTATCCCCCCACTCCAGCCACGTGGTTCAAATCCTCACAGCTGCTTCAAGCCCAGCCCAACCATGTTAGGACAGAGGCACAGCGAGACCTTGCTCAGCACACAGCAGCACAGCATCAGGATCCGTAGACCCTTGCATGACTTTCCTGGGTTTCACTTTCCCATCCCTACAGACATTTGTTTCTTCCCGCTCCCAGGGAACGCTGGCACTGGAGATCAGCAACAAAGGATTAAAGCTCAGCTGTCCCCGGCCCTTCTCCATCCCCACCACGCAGGAGGCACACATGACTGCAGCTGTTTGGTGTCCAAACAGGCAGAGCAGCAGGTGAGTTCCCAAAAACCCCTGTTCCTATAAGCCCTGGAGATGGAAAGCAGAGAAGCCCTTTATAGGGGGTGTTGAGCACCTGCAGCATCCTCAGTGCTTCCAGGGGAGCTGGAGATGCTCAACGTGCAGCATAAATGAATGGAGCTCTGCCACTCTACATGCTCCAGGCTCCTCCAGTGCTGGGTTAGTTTCCAACAAGCCCGAGGATTTACTCACTTGGAGACTATGTGGGAGACGCAGCCAGCAGGACAGTCTGAAGCAAGGACACTTGACTACAAGCATACCATAAATATTCTTTATTTAAACACAATGTCAACCATTAGGACCTGCAATAAATACTTTAATTTTTGAACATACATGTCTTCATGTAGCTAGCACAACAAAACACCTTTACATTTCCTTATTTATATACAGATCTGTATACCACTGTATATAGATAATCAAGATATATACACACATATACATACATATATCTAAATATATATGCACTTGTGCAAAAATGGCCTTACCAAGGGCAGTAAACAAGAAAATATTTCCCAACCCACTCTTGCTGGCACTGGTAATATTGCACTGAAAAGGTTCCTGCCATTGATAGGGTGAGAAAACAGGAGAAAAACTCAAACTGTATGCATGGAGAAGCAGCAAATCCGCTTTGTTTTCCACAAGAATGTATTTCAGGGACAGGGTTGGGTCCAGCTCCTACAGACAGATTTCACCACACTTAGCAGGCGAGACAACTTTCTTCCAAGCTGTGTGTAAACTCAGTTCCAGCGTGCACAGCTCTGCCCGGTCCTGGGATGCACTACCACAACCACAGGAGCTCTGCATTCCCAGTTGAGCTGCTGCACTTTGTTCTGTGGCTGTGCCCCAGCTCTGCTGGTACCACCAGCTGCAGTGCGGGCACAAGGAACATCTCTCAGTGGGCACAGTGTTGCTGCCCTGCTCCATAATATCACGAGCAGCACCTACATGTTCCCTTGAGTGTCCCTGCAGCTGTCACTGAAGGAATGTCTGCGTAAGGGTGTAGCTACCCCAGCTGCCAAATGACTGTGTGTCCACAGCCTGGGCTGTGTGTCAGTTGCAAGATGTTCTCTACAAACCCAAGAAGAAAGGTTAGGGCTAATGCTTTCAAAACATGGCACACGGCTCTTACAAGTCAGCAAACACTGCGGCTCAGCTGAGGAACAGGGTGCTCCTGGTGCTGGATGTTCCTGCATGGGTGGCTGAGGTGACAGCTCCCCATTTCCACCCTCCCTGCTCAGGGACACAGCCATGGCTGGTCAGAGAACCTCTGTTCCCCTGCTGTTGTGATGGGATGGCACTTACTGTTTGCTGATAGACAGCACAGAAGGGAACATGCGAGGCAGGATGTCCTCCCTCCTGCCAGAGGAATGAGCATGCTCATAAACTCATCTTCTTGGGAAATGGGCTCATCGTACCAGTGAACACAAACACTTGGATGCAGAGGGCTGGTGAACAGAGGGGAAGAAGCCTTTCCCTCAGGCAGAGTGGTGTTTGGAGTTGCTGGCAGCAGTGTTGTAATATCAGAAGGGCAAGAGATGCTGGGAGAGCTTGAAGCCTGTGGTGTGCTTGTAGCCAGCCCTGTAAATGCTCTCCCTCTGCTGCAAAAACATGTTCCTTATAGTAAATAAATACATAAACAAACCCTTAGAAAAACACAGCACGCTGTGTGCTGCTTGGAGACACGAGGCTCTCCTCTCTGCGCTGAGCCCTGGCCTGCTGTCAGGCATTCAGGAGGGTTTGGTAACTTCAGTCTCTGCCGTCCTCCCTGCTGTACCCACTGCTCAGCACTGCCTTTAACCGGGGCTCCAAAGAAATAGCCACAGGCTCTGGGCCAGCCCCCACAGAGATACACAGAGGGGCACACTGTGCATCAGTGACACCCAGACAAACACATTGGCGCTGAGGGGGGGATCTGCTGCCCCACAGTTCCCCAGAGCCACAGTGAGCGAGGCTGGGTTTCAAGGCCTGGGCTTCCCAGAAAGCAGAAGGTCTCCAGAATTGATCCCAAGAAGCAAAGGACTGACATAAGGCAGCAGCTTGTGATACTCTGCCCGTTTTAGGGGATGGAGCTACAGCAATAACGAAGGGACCTGCAGTAAGAACGGTACTTTGTGACACCACAAAAGCTGCAATCATGCCTCTCATCTCAACTAAGGCATCAAAAACAGTAACAACCTCCTTGGCTGAAGTGACTGAAAGCATGAAGGTACAGGCATGCCAAGCTCCAGCTCACACCCAGCCTTCGTGCTCGCACCATCCTGCCCTTGCTCTATGCACATCGTGGCTGCAGCATAGCAAGCAGCCTGCAATAAGAACCCAGCATTTCATCACAGTGCTTGTCCTCTAATGAAGTTACTGCTGTGTTTTATCACATGTACTTAACCCGAGCCAGCCCTCTGCTAGTGTTAATCCTGAAATGTGCGTGCTGGGTTTCTCCTGACCCTAAAATCACTGTAGCAGCTACTGCATCCTGACTTAATACTCCATTTCTGAGTCCCTAGCATACATCTCTAAATTCTTTTAATTACAATGCATTTCAATAGGCAAAGGGATTCCTTTATTCAGCTTTTTTTTTTCCTCATGAAACAGGAAGGGTTAATCAAGTTTGACTTCATTGGTGACACAACTTTTACTACTCTGGTATTTATCTCTTTTAGTTCCAGCTGCTTCCAGAACTGAGCAGTTAGCCTCACCAGTTTTACTAGTGGTGTCTTAGAGGAAAGAAATCAGCTTTTCAACACTCAGACATGGGTAAGCTTGAGGTTTCCTAACACTGCACCTTAACACTGTACTGAGAGGTCATCAGACAGACAGACATCCCCTGTCCCTTCCACATCTCTGTGCTCTGCACACTGCAGCAGTGCTGCAGTCACCCATTGCTCATGGCTCAGCTCTGGCTGCAAACAGCACCAACATCTGAAGTATGAGTACAGCCAGCCAAGCAAGCAGAGCGATTATTTGGACAATAAAATCCTCATCCACAGCACATGCTGTTGAAATGCAAATAGTAGTTAATAATAATAAAAAATGCACACAGCAACTGAGATGTGGATGCTGGATTTCTCCTGCCCCTCCACCAAGAGCCATCACCGTGGGACACCCCCTCACCTTACACTCCTGCTAACACCAGCCTAGGCAGGATTAATGGCACAGTAAAAATCAATCGCTTCAACCAAGAGGCTAATTTTCACTTCTTGCTTTGTGATAATCAGGACCCATACTGAGCTGAAATGCATCTCCAATGTGGTGCATCTCTAACCTACATGGGGCACTGACACCAGCCCTACAGCACAGGGCCCCTTGCCTTTCAGCCCTTTACAGTAGGAAGCTGAAAGCACCTGACCCCACACCAGGTCTCCCCTGCCAGGACAGCCTGTTAATGTTTATCTGAGGAGAAAATGTTTTTTCAACCTGGCCTCCTGCTCCCCGCAGCCACACACTGCTCTGTGCCATCACACCCTTCTCGTTTGTTCACGCTGTAATGTAAAACCTGAACCCAATGACCTGGGGAGTGCTTGGGCACTGCTGACAGCACCAAGGAAGGTGCGGATGGGCACAGGCAGCAAAGCTGGCAGTGACACAGAGCTCTGCTGGACACATTCTCTGCCGCTCTGTAGCACGCACCAAGCTGCAGAGGCTGCAAACGGAGCAGAGCCAGCAGCCAGCTCAGGGCTAGGACAGGGCTAAGGGCTGCCTGTCCTCCCAGACTGAATTGGGATACCTGGGGGAAGGCAGAAGGGAGCACGAGGATTTACAAACCCTTCCCCACAAAACCGGGTGCGGCTTTATCACGAGGAATGCTGCGAGCTCAAGGATGATTCTGCAGCCGCCCTGAACCTTGCAGCACCAGCGCTGTCCTTACGAGCTGATGCCGACCAGCGCGCCCTGGCCGTAACCGCGAGGGCAGCAAAAGGAGCCGCGGTGAAGGGGCTGCGGGAGCTGCGGGCAGGCAGAACCTCCTCCCCACAGAGCAGCCCAGGTGGGTGCGAGCCGCCTCCTAGCAACGGTGCCAACAAAACCCTCCGAGTGCAGGCAGGGAGAAGAGCTCCCAAGGGGCGCGGGGCCGTCCCTCCCCCATCTTTCCCACGTGCTTCTGAACACACCACGCTTTCACATCCTCCTCGGCTCCCCTCTTTCAAATTGCAGCTGCGGAAGAAAGCGAGGGGGGAGCTCCATTTCCGCCCCTCGATCGCTGCTTTCTTCCAGTGAGGGCTCCGAGCAGCGCCGAGCAGCACGGCCACCCCTCCGTCCGTCCGTCCGTCCGTGCGTCCGTCCCCACCTGCCCGCCCGCGTCTGCCGCCGTGACAGACCGTGCGCCCGCCGCCAAGTGCTGCGGGAACGCAATGCAAACCCGCTGCAAGGGAGGGAAAAAACCCTTCACAAACAAACCAACCAACCAGCCTAGAGCCGTCCCGCGGCCAGGGCTGCGCTGCCGGACTGTCAGCCCTCAGCGACAGAAAATAAAACCCTCCCTACCCACCTCCTCGGGCTGCCAGCTGGGAACCGAACTTAAACAAACCGGGCGGCCGCAGAGCTTCGGCTGCGGTCTCGACAGAAGGACGGGCTGCGACTGCAGCAGCGTATCGCCCGGCTTCCCAGTACCACATTCCTGAGTCCCACAGTCACAGTGTCACATTCTGGGCAAAGACTCCGTTTATTTCTATCCTTATTTCAGCGGAAAGTCCTATAGCACTTGACAAAAGACGCATTCGTGGCTGTTGTGGTCTTTTTTTCTGTTTGTTTGCTTTGGGATTTTTTGTTTGTTTGTTTTGTTTTGTTTTGTTTTGTTTTTCCGGGCGTTGTTAAAACTTTCCCACTGACAGCAACAGGATCAGATACAGCCTACCGAGCTCTAAGCATCCCTCGGGGGAATTTTGGGGCAGGTGCTGCACAGACCGAGGAGCACGGCGCTCCCGTAGCAGCCGCCAGCACCGAGCTCATGAGGTAGTTCAACACCGGCCACAGCCAGGAAGTTCTTCCTGGGACGAGCTTTCTGCACAGCCTTAAAATACCATCCCCCCCAGCACTCCCCCCGGCACACGGGACCTAAGGTCGTGCACTTAAAATTCCTAACCCCTGCAAGCAGCCAGCCCACCCGAGCCACCCGGGGCTGCCTTTCACCTGTTTGCAGGAGGTTTGCTGAGTTTTAGGTTTCTTGCAGCCATTGGGGTTTAGGTGTGCTTTAGGAGAGGATCGTTCTAACTATCAGGCTTTTGTATTTCCATAGAGAAAGGCTCATCGTTAGGAGCAGTGTGCCACGCCAGAGCCCATCGCGTCTCAGAGCTACCCGCTAGGCACAGTACCTTTGCAGTGCAAAAAGTCCTCGGGGTGAGGGAAGGAGCCCTCCTCGCAGAGCAGCTCACTGGCTTTATCCGGTGCCAGGGGGTAGCCGTTGTCCTCCTCGTTGTAGTCGCTCCTGCCGTTGCTGTTTGAGTAGCCATTGGCATACATCTTCAGAGCAGACCTGCGGAGGCACAGGAGCTCCTGGAAGGCGTACCTGAAGTCCGGGCTCCGGCAGTAGATCAGGGGGTTGAAGGCAGAGTTGACATAGCCCAGCCAGTTCAAGAGAATGTACACGTACTTGGGGATGATGTCGTCCTGGATGACGTGCACGATGTTGACGATGAAGAAGGGCAGCCAGCATAGCGTGAAGGTGCCCATGATGATGCCCAGGGTCTTCAGGGCTTTGTGTTCCTTCAGGAAGAACTTGGAGGAACGGCGGTGCCCAGCTTTCCCGTTCTGGTCCTGTTCCTTGTTCTGGATGTGAAACCTCCCCTCACTCCGGTCTATCTTCTGCAGCTGCTTCTTGGCCACCTGGAAGACCCTGGCGTACACAAATACCATGACCACAAGCGGCAGGTAGAAGGAAATGATGGAGGAGGCAATGGCATAGGCTTGGTTGGTGAAGAAGTCACAGCACGTGTCCTTCTCATAGCAGAGGATGGCCTCGTCACGGTCTGCCCGGTACCAATGCATCTGGATGGGCAGGAAGGAGGTGAGGGCCGAGATCGCCCACACCACCAGGATGACCACGCGTGCCTTGCTCTTGGTTAGCAGGCTCTGGTACTTGAACGGGGAGGTGATGGCAAAGTATCGGTCCACAGCGATGACGCAGAGGGTCTCGATGCTGGCTGTGACGCAAAGCACGTCCAGAGAGGTCCAGAACTCGCACCAGAAGTTCCCAAACTTCCACATCTCCATGATGATGTGGCAGGCACCGAAGGGCACCACGCCCAGTCCCATCACCAGGTCGGCGCACGCCAGCGAGGTGATGAAATAGTTGGTGACCGTCTGCAGGCGCTGGAAGCGGGCGATGGCGGTGATCACCAACACGTTGCCGAAGACGATGACCAGCACGATCAGCGACATGAGGATCCCCATGCCCACCACCCACACGTCCCGCGACACCGTGGGGTCTGCGGCGCTCTGGTTGGCGCTGACGTTGCCGCCGGGCAGCTCGGTGCCCGCCACCCCCATGGCCCCCCAGCCAGGTCCCCGGGCAGGCAGCGGGGGCTGCGCTCAGCGTTCCGGCGTCGTGGCGCTGCGCCGGGCTCCGCGCATAGGGGACGGCAGGTGCTGGCGGGCTGGGCGCGGGGGCTCCCGCCGTGCGGGGCTGTGTGCGCTGCGCTCCGCTCCAGTTCGCTCGCTCCTCACCCGTCCAAACCCGTCCCACGGCGGCTCACCCGCCCGACTGTCCCCAGCCCGTTCGGCGCCGCCGAGCTTATAGCAACACCCGCCGTGACATCAGCCCGGCACGGCCAATGGCAGCCCGCGCCGCGCCTCGCGCGCACCTCGCACCCCCCCGCGTGCCCCCCCGGCCCGGCAGCCGCCCCACGCGTGTCGCCGCTCCGCGCTCCAGCTGGGAACGCGGCGGTCCGTCTCTGTCCCCGCGCCGCGTCCCCCCACCCCCCGCGTGCTCCCCGCGTGTGTTCCCCTTCTCGGGGTGTCCCTACGCCCTGCCCCGGGGTTCCCAAACTTCCCACCCCCACGCCCCATTAGCTCCCTGACACCCCCGGGCAGTGCGGGGCACGGGGTTGTGTGACTGCTGCGCTGCTCTCTGGCACCAAAGCACGCAAATATCCTAAATAAGGGCTGAGGAATCCTACAAACTTCAATGTCATGAGAGAGAACGCTGTCGCCGGAACGCCACGTCTGCGCGTTGCTGTGCATGGAAGGGCCGCGACGCCTCGTGCTGCTGTCCCGCAGGTGGCACCGCGCGTGAGCTGGAGTTGCCCGCAGCCGCTCTGCCCGCGCGGTTAATAGAGGAGCGGCTGCACGCAGGGGGAGATTTGTGGGTTAACAAAGGGTTGAGCGAGGAGCTGGGATCGGGAAACGCGATGAAGGGCAGCTCCGGCGGTGCGTGCTTCTGGCTCAGGGGCTCTGCTGTAACGAGCGGCTTTGGAAAGGAGGGACATGTGGGGCAGCCAAGAGTGCAGGGGAGCACTAATGACCTTGGTTAATTACCACGACTTTTCAGTGTCCCGTCGTTGAAATAAAGAGGTCCATACGATCCATTCAACATATGACTGCAACCGGCTGGTGGAAGGCTGCAGCATCCCATTGGCTTTCACAGACTTTTACACCAGGTGGGGATCTGTTCCATACTTGAAGGCTCACTTAGCACCTGCAGGCTAAGTGGAGGCCATCCCTGGCTCCTGTGCATGCACAGTGCATGCACCTCGTGGGGAAAACACAGCAGGAAACTGCCGGGAAAGTGCAGGTGGATCAGATGCAGTGTTGGGAGAGAAGAGCAGGAAGGAGAAGTGGTGGTTGTGGGAACTACACGTCATGCTCAGCTCGCTGTCCAATGCTCTTTTTAAAGACTTGGTCCGAAAACTCTGGAAATGATCAAGGTAAGCTTATGGTAGTAACTGGCAAGTTTGCTGTGCTGCTTCCTGTAAGGCTAACATCAGGAAATGCTGTGACACTAAATCACAAGTTTCAAAAAGCATCAGGTTCCTTGTTACGACAGACATGTCATGCTCATCCTTGCAAGAAGTGTTGTCTTGAAAGGAGGAGAGGCAGCTTTGGGAGCTTAGGAGAAAACACAGAGTCTGGGAGGGTCAGAGCTCAGGTCTGTGCTTCATAACACATGCATAACACATCAGAGCTGTCTGTTTGTCCTGCACGTCCTGGTAACGACCCTCCATCCTTCTGTATCAGTGCCATGGCATGGGATGCAGAACTCAGCACGCACAGCTTCTACCTCAATATTTTGGCTTTTTCTACGTTATATTCACAGCAGCTTGGGCCTCATGTGCTTTGTGGGGCATGGTGGAGGTAGCAGGGCTGAATTTTCTTCCTCGGTTTGGCAGCTCTCTGCTTGCTTTGGCCATCTGCTCACCTGCATGGAGTGTGCTGGGGTGCGCCCTCAGCCTGGGCTGCCTTCAGCCCCCGCTGTGCAGCCGTGACTCACACTGCAACAGCAAACACAACTTCAAATTAAAGGCAGGATTTTGCCCCACATAAATGTCATCACCCAAAGTCTGGGTTATTTTTGTGGTGTGCCTGCTTTTACTTGTGCTTTTGAGTAGCTACAGGCTTTCTTTTAAAACAGAAACAATACTAAACCTCAGAGTATAGGTTGGGAGGAGGGTTAGGTTTGCATTTCTTGCACTGCCCATAGCACTGGGGAGCTCTGCCCACCCCATAGTGCCTCCTTCTGGGACCTCAGCTTGCAGGGTGTCACAGCCAGGTGCACCCTGTTTGTTTCATGTAGTACATCCCCACACTGACCCTGCTGCTTTGTCATCCCGTTAATCTTTTCCTTTTACAATTGGATGTGTGTTCCTTCCTTGCAGGGTGACATTTGAAGAGCAGCCAGTGGGATCAATGAGAGAGGCAGGGCTGGGAGAAAGAGGTAATCACTTTTACCAGCCCATGTGACACAAGTGGAAACGAACAGCCATGCTTTCAGGTACACACATCTTCTTTAGGGCTGTGACAAGGGATGCTCCCTTGGCCCAGGTGCATATCGTGGGCTGGGAAGGAGGAAGCCCCCCGATGGAAGCAGGTGGCCAGGTGTACATGCGTGAGGGTTGCTTACATTACTCTGGGTCTCTAGGGGCTGCTGGCTTCCTAATCCCCCTACTCAGACAGCAGCTTGGCAGAGGCAGCGAGCTTTTGGCAGGTTCCTCGTGGCGGCTTCCTGGCTCCTATTCCTCTTCCTCTCCACTTGTCACACCGTGAGGGGGAGCCACCTCTGAGTCACAGCTCCAGTAACACCTCCTTTCTGTTAGTCGGGAACAAGCGTGATTAGGAATCAGGGCTTGAATGATAACACCCACCCCTGCACTGCACAGGGGCAGGAGCAGCAGAGGAACTGCCTGCAGTGCTGGGGCTCAGGGATGGCACAAAGCACCTGGCACAGCAGCAGATACACAGCAGCCTCCCTACTGCCTTCGTGTGTAACATCTGATGGCCTTGGCATTCACAGTTCTTGTGTTCTTGTCCTGATTTTAAAGTCTAGACCAAAGGGAAAGGAAATGGCTGAATATAAGAAATGATCCCAGTGAAAACCAAGGGCTTAATATGGAGCATGGCACATGGAACAGCCGAGCTCTGGAGATTCATTGTCTCTGGGCTAAAGTCTGAACTGCTGGTCCATAAATCAGCACTGATGGTGAACACAGGCTATGGAACAACATAATGTGAGGGCAACAGTGGAAACGGAGTAATAGAGATAAAAGGCTGTTATCAGGACTCTTTCTTCTCATATCTATCCACCATCAATGAGAGTCTACAGAGACCCCCAGTGAGTCCTGGTCCTGGGGCAATGGTCCCTTCTTGCAATGGGCTCAGGGCTTCTCCCCTAATTCCTAATTTTAGAAGGCTACATCATAAACTTATAGGAAAGGGAACTGTGTGTGCCGGAATATGTGCCCAGTTCTACTGAGTCCAAGAGGAAATTTGTTTTTTCCTGAGAGCTTTCTTATCAAATCTGCTGCATATCAAACCCAAAATAGCTTGTGAGGCTGCTGGTCAGAGCAGCTTCCCCCAGCTTCGAGGGATTGTTCAGGAGCTTTGCAGTCTGAGCATGTCAGTGTACTGCAGCACGGCCGCTAGTGCCCGTTTCTTTTAGAGCAGACTGCACAAGGTGGTGCAGAAAATGTTTTTTTTCTTAAGGATTGTAATCTCTATGGTCTCCAAGTGCCTTGCTGGAACAAGGAAAATCACAGTGCAGAAGTGGTTTAGAGTAAGTCCAGGCTTGTATCATTTCTCTGTTACAACTCAGTCTGACCAGAGCCTCTGTCTTCCTGCTTCATAGGGGCTGTGACATTGCAGTGGGAACTGTCATAGAGTTTTGCTCTCAGCGTTGAAGAAAATCCACATCCTGAAAGAAAGGCAGTAGTTGTGTTGTGCAAAGTTCAGGGACATGGAAATCGCTTGGAAGTGAAAGCATTGGCTCGAAATGATCACACTCAGACCCTTGCACACAAACACCTCCAGAACACACAGATACTTATTTTGCTGATCACCAATGTGGTGGAAATGCAAAGTCATGTCCTGAAGCAGTGATTGAGCACTTGGTGGGAAGGCAGGGCCAATCCAGTGGAGCTCAGGTGCATGCAATGCAGCTGAATGACCAGAAGGGATGGAGCCAGGATCCACCCCTTCCCAGACCTCATTTAAGGGTTAGCAGTGGAGGTGAGGGCATCTTGCTGGAGATCTTCACACACTTGAGGTCTTCCAGAGGTAAGTAGCTTCTTTGCTTTAATTCTTTGCCCACAACTGTTGCATTTGGGCAATTTCTTACTTGCTGTAGCCTGGAACCTTGCTGCTCTGCTATTATTGCTGTGCTTCTCATCACATTACAACCACCAACAAACATACAGTTTTCTAGCAATGAGATGGGCAGTAAGCACTAAGAAGACAGTCACATCTCTTGTCTCTTTACCTCAACCTGCTCCCAGCATGTGATGTGAACCCTGTTCAACCTATCCCTTAGCTCTGGGGGTAGTTGGCAGCACGTTCCCAGCCCACATCTCATATCCTGCCTAGCATCCATAGAATCACAGAACCATTAAGGTTGGAAGAGACCTCTAAGGTCATCAGGCCCAACCACCAACCCGTGCTCACTGACCGCATCCCTCAGTGCTGCATCTCCACGGTGTCTTGAGCACCTCCAGGGACAGTGACCCCACCACCTCCCTGGGCAGTTGTGCCAATGTCTGACTGGTCTTTCAGAGACTTCTTTTTTCCCCTAATATCCAGCCCAAACTTCCCCTCACACAACTTAAAGCCATCACTTCTAATCCTATTGCGGTTTCTGCTCCCTGATGATCTCAGGCTGAATTCTGAGCAGCAGATGAAAGTGAAAGGCACCATGTCCCACGACCACCCAGTCTCTTTGCCCACCCCAGCCCACTTTGGAATGCCAGAACAAACACTCCTTAAACAATGTAAGTAATTGCTTTTAGATGGACCATTGTGTGTGGCATTCATCTAGGAGATGCTATCTGTGAATGGTGTTTGTG